CAGGGCGGGGGCAGGGCGGGGGCAGGGCGGGGGCGGGAAGATTAGGGCAGGGCAGGGGCAGGGGCAGGGGCAGGGGCAGGGGCAGGGCCGGGCAGGAAGATTGGGGCGGGAAGATTGGTACAGGGCAGGAAGATTGGGGCGGGGCGGGGCGGGGCGGGGCGGGGCGGGAAGATTGGGGCGGGGGCAGAAAAGTTCGGGCGGGGTGCTGCGGGGCGAGGCCGGGAGACGGTGGGGTTGACTCTCTGAAGGAAGGTGACATTGACACACAGGGAATAATCCTGTTGCCGTTTCCGAAGAAGTGCTTTCCCTTGCTCCCGGGAACGGAAATCAGCAGTGCGCCACAACCCTGCCCTTCCGCCCCGTACGATGACACAATGCGACTATCCACGGAGAACATGTAATACCGTCGTCTCAGCCGAGACTCACCTTGACTCATAATCAGCGGCTTTCCCTCCAATTCGACGGCCCGAATGTGTAGGCCTTCCTTGGCAACCGACTGACAGCCTGTCACCATAAGGCCAAAAGCGCATGCGCCGAACCATTCCGTGACGTAACGACGGCTGTTGCGCGTGATGTGGAGACGCGCGCATGCGCGGTTCTCGGCCTGACAGGTGCCATGTGGTCCTCGTCAAACCTTGTGAATGAACAACATTGACCCAGGTCCAAAATCCCAGGATAGTAGGAACTGCAGATGCTGGAGAATCTGAGATAACAAGGTGTAGAGCAGGATGTACACAGCAGGCCAAGCAGCATCAGAGCTCTATCCCCGCCTCTTTGACCTGTCTATTTCCTCTCCACCTATCTTCTCCTCTATCCATCTTCTATCCACCTCCCCCTCTCTCCCTATTTATTTCAGAACCCCTTCCCCCATTTGTGAAGAAGGGTCTAGGCCCGAAACGTCTTTAAGTTAGCTTTCCTGCTTGGCCTGCTGTGTTCATCCAGCTCTACACCTTGTTATCTCAAAAATCCCAGGTCACCAGGTTATAGTCCAACAGGTCTTTTTGAACTCACAAGCTTTCGGAGTCTCACTCCTTTTACAAGGGTGATACCTGAAGCAGGAGTGAGACTCTGAAAGCTTGTGTGTTCAAATAAACTGTTGGAGTATAACCTGTTGTCCTGGGATTTTTAACCTTGATCACCCCAGTTCAACACCGGCACCTCCACATCATCAACACTGACCCAGACTGAAACCCCATTCAGATCATCTAGAAGTGCTCCTATACTTCAAGATGAAATAAGACAATGTTGGAGTCAAAAGACATTCATTATCAAAACCTGACAATGGTGAAGTTTGAATTCAATAAAAGTTTGGAAAGAGTATGGATGAGAAAGGGTCACTGGACTCAAAAAAGTAACTCTGCTTTCACTCCACAAATGCTGCTAAACCTGCTGAGTTTCTCCAGTGGTTTCTGTTTTTGTTCTCGAGAGCAATACTTTGGAGTCATAGTCATACAGCTTGGAATTAGACTGTTCAGTCCAACCTGTCCACGCTGACCAAATTTCCCAAACTAAATTAGTCCCATTTCCCTGCACATGGCCCGTATTCTTCTAAATCTTTCCTATTCAGTACCTGTCCAAATATCTCTTAAATGTTGCAACTGTGCTTGCAGCTACCACTTCCTCTGGCAACTCAATCCACATACAAATCACCCTCTGCGTGAAAAAGTTGCCCCTCAGGTCCCTTTTAAATCTTTCTCCTCACCATAAAATTGTACTCTCTATTTTTGCACTCCCTCGATCTAGGGAAAAAACCTTTTCTATTCACCTCATCTATGTCCCTCATGATTTTATAAATCCCTATAAAGGTCACCCCTCAACCTCCTATGCTTCGGTGAAAAATATCCCAGCTTTTCCAGCCTCTCCTTATAACTCAAGCCCTCCAATCCCAGTGACATCCTTGTAAATCTTTTCTGCACCCTTTCCAATTTAATAATATCCTTCCCATAGCAGGGTGGCCAGAACTGCACACAGTACTCCAAAAGTGGCCTCACCAGCGTCCTGTACTACTGCAACTTGACTTACCAACCCTGAAATTCAATGATCTGAGCAATGAAGGCAAGCATTCCAAACACCTTATTTGTCACTCTATCTACCTGTGAAGCAACTTTTAATGAACTCTGTGCCCGAACCACTCTGTTCTACAACATTCCCCAGGCCCCTACCATTTACTGTCTAAGTCCCGTGTTTGTTCGTCTTACCAAAATGCAACACCTCGCATTTATCTAAATTAAACTCTATCTGCTATTCCTTGGCCCTTTTGATCAAGATCCCTTTGTAATCTTAGTTAACCTTCCTCACTGTCTACTATACCACCAATTTTGGTCTCAAGATTACAAGTCCTTTGGCAATATCGCTGCACTATTGCCTCCCCCTATCAAACATCCATTGGCTGGAAACATTGAAATGGGTGACTGACACAGCGTAAACTACCATCCCTACAAATAAGGTATATCAACAAGTGCTCAGGGTAAGAGAGCAGTCCTTTTCAGATGGTCCTTGTCGGCAGGCTGTCCTTTCCAGATGGAACATGAACCAAAAGATATTGAGGGAAGACTTAGGAAAGAATCCCCTAACATTATGTCTAGAGAGCAGGTAGCTACCTTCACAACTTTATTGAAATCAACACACTCTCTGCAATTTCCTGTTTGTCCCCTATGAGCTAACTATTCCTAATTATCACAAGCTATCTACACTTTTAAATGTCTAACTAACCAATGTATGACATCTAAACTGCTGCTTCTTGACAAACTCAATAACTCCATGAAACTGCCTTATAAATAGTCAATATTAGGTAACTCTGGTTATCCCAAATTCTAACAAGGGAAAACTAATTACTAGCCTTCTGAACTTCTATTGACTCATAATTCTCAACAAAGGAGCTTATCTGAAGTAGTGTATCCCATACTGGTCACCATACATACAGAAGGATTTTTGAGAGCAGTTCAGAGAAAGTTGACTAGACTGATACCTGTAATCACTCAGGGGAGAGCATCACTGACTTGGCAGATCCCTCAGCTATGCTTCAGAGATATGGGTTTGAATCCCACCATAGTAGTTGATGAAATATCATTATCTGTTTATCTTTTAATGCAAAGTACTTGACATTGATACTAATTGCCTCATTAAGATCTATCTCTTTGACCAATTACTCTGCTGTGAATCTCCTTGTGTGGTTTTCTTCACAAAGTGGATCCAGAACGGATGTTTCCCTTTGTGGGGCAATGAGAACAAGAGGTTGTAGTTTTAGGATAAGGGTGGCAGATTGAAACAGAGATAAGGAGGATTACTTCTCTTGAAGGATCAAGAACCTGTGGAATTCACTGCCCCATTGTGCGATGGAGACTGGGCCACTGAATAAATTTAAGGAGGAAATAGACAGATTTTTAAATTAGTAATACTGTTAAAGGTTATGGGGAGACAACAGGAAATGAAGCTGCAATGAAATCAGCCATGGCTGTATTAAATGGTGGAGCAGACTCAGTGGGCTTAATGGCCTACTGCTGCTCCTAGTTCTTATATAGTCATAGAGATATACATCTCAGAAGAAGTCCAATCAGTCCGGTTCATCCATGCCGACTAGATATCCTAAATTAATCTAGTTCCATTTGCCAGCATTTGACCCATATCCCTCTAAACCCTTCCTATTCATGTACCTAGCCAGATGCCTTTTAAATGCTGTAATTGTATCAGCCTCCACCAGTGCCTCTGGCAGCTCATTCCACACACACACCACCCTCTGCTTACCCTCAGCTCTCTTTCAAATCTTTCCCCTCTCACCCAAAACCAGTGCCCTCTAGTTATGGACTCCCCTACCCTGGGAAAAAGACCCTGGCTCTTCACCCAATTCATGAACCTCATGATTTTATAAACTTCTATAAGGTCACCCCTCAGCCTCCAGCATTCAAGGAAAAATAGCCACAGCCTACTTGACCTCTCCCTATAGCTCAAACCCTCCAACCTACAACATCCTTGTAAATTTTTTCTGAACACTTTCAAGTTTCACGACATCTTTCCTATAGCATGTTCTTAAGTTCTTCTTATATGAAAAATGCTTTATAAGTGCAACTTACAAGCATTTAAGCACTGAATGAACCCAAGCCAAGTTGTAGTAATTGTATCTAGATCAGCTGTTGATGTCGTTTTACCTCAGGGTCAGAGGTGGTTGGTCCCAGTCCCAAAGCAGGCCACAAACATAAAAACCAAAGCCTGATACTCAGGTGCAGCATTGAAAGAGTGTTGCACTGGCTTTTCTGTGAAACCTTAAACTGAGGCAGGGAGATGTTTGCCATGTCCTCGTCAATCGTGGGAGGCAATGGCCTAATGATATTATCTCTGGTCTGTTATTCCAGAGACCCAGATCATGTTCTGGGGACCCAGGTTCAAATCCCACAATGGCAGATGGTGGAATTTGAATTTGATAAATATCTGGAACTAAGAGTCTAATGATGACCATGAATCCATTGTCAATTGTCGGAAAAACCCATCTGGCTCGCTAATGTCCTTTAGGGAAGGAAACTGCCATCCTTACCCGGTTTGGCCTACATGTGACTCCAGACCAACAGCAATGTGGTTGACTCTGAACTGCCCTCTGAGCAATTAGGGATGGGCAATAAATGCTGCCTAGCCAGCCATGCCCTCATCCTGTTGATGAATAAAGAAAAAAATTAACCCATATCTAGGGATTGGTTAGCTGAGTTGTTTGGACAGTTGGTTTGTGAAATAGAACGACACCAATGGTGTGGGTTCAAATCCTGCACTGGCTGAGGTTACTATGGAGGCCCCACTTTCCTCAAACTCTCTCCTCACCTGAGGTATGACAGGCCTCAGGTTAAACTCATCACCACTTGTCTCTCTTCAATGAGTGAGCAACCACATGCTACTCAAGAGCTATGGTGAGTTGACCTTACTTATCCACATCACAAACCAAAGATAATCAATTATCACTCTGCTCCATGCAGGCATTTACTGTGTCCAAATTGGCTGCCACATTTCTTGCATTCTAACAACACTAACACTTCAAAAGGTACTTTATCGCCCGTAGAGTGCTTTGGGATATCTTGAGGTCATGACAGGTGCTATATAAATGCCAGTCTTTCATTTGTAGAAGAAAACAACTGGAGTACAAAGGTTATTGACCAAGAAAATAGCTGGATTTAGAGGTAGTTGATGGAAGCAAACAGCTGGTGACGTGGGTGAGTGATTGGAAACAGCTGGAATACACCAAAACAGAGGGATGTGTTCCAGCGATAGAGGAGACAATGTTTACAAGATGTTCTTGGCTCAATGGCAACAATCTCATCTCTGAATCTGCGGATCATGCGTTCAAGTTCCTGTTACAATCCCAATACGCTTTTTTTTGGTTTTTCAAAGCAACAGCACTAAAATACGTAAAGAATTTGTTTACATCATGTGCTTGAAAGCCCTTCTCAATGTTGCTGATACGAGGAAGTTTTGAAAACCTGGCTGTTTACCACAGCAGGAGCTGGCATGGGAGCAGACATTGTGGGATTGTTTACATCTAAAAACA